TATTACCTGTTTATGGCCCCCATTAGTCGGATCAAACAGCATCCCCCTGTGTTGCTCTGAACCTGAAGGCTCAGGGAGCACCTGGGGATTTTGGCAAACGGTAGCTGGGTCTTGATTAATCGAGAGAGAAGACGATTCTGCTTCGACAGGCTCCTAAACAGACACAACACAAATCTTCCAATACTAAGAAAAGTTTGGCACCCTCTGTGCATACTGGTATTAACTTTTTTAAAACCTATCCAGATTTATTTTGGGGAAACAGTACAGGAGGTGCGTCGCTTACCACTGCTGGAGGCTCCAACAGCTTTTCCGTCGTTTCAAGGCTGTCCTGAAAAGACATAAGGAGTCCCATTAAAAGGAGACATTAAAATAAACACATTAATTCTACCTTCTTTAAAAACTTACATCAACATTTGGCATGTGTAGATTTATTGGAGTCCCCTTGATTAAAGTCACAGTGTCATTGTTACTGGCTGTCACGTTGTTTGCATTTGAGATCAGTTCAGCCTCTCGAAGTAACTCGCCAGTGTCTTCCTTGATGTCCACAACTGAGTCCCGTTTCTCCACAGAGACGGGACGTGTACCACCTGGATTCGGCTGCATATCTAACAGCCCATTGGAAGCCGTCCTCTTGTCTCCTCCCCTGGCACAAACACCTGACTCAGCTCTGAGAGCAGGATTTACAGGAGAGGGAAGAGGTGAGGGATCTGGTTTTCGCCTCGCTTTTCTGTCTTTGCATGCGATGCGAGTCCCAGGCTCCCTCTGTGACTCAACAGACGGGGGCCTTTGAACCCAGTTTTTCATCACACCGTCACTCGGCTGCAATGGGATATCAATAGTAATGCTGCTGACGGTTGCCAGGGGAGAGATACCAGCTTTGAAAATATCAGCTGATGAGGATATAGCTTGTGACGGAAGGGCTGGAGGGAAATCTGCAACCCCATTCTGGGTCTTATGATCAGCTTTGTCTTCTCTCTAGGATTAAGGAGAAAAGGTTGCATAAAATAAAGATGGTGACATGTTCTTTTTTTCACACTTCAAATTTTCTTTTTAAATAGAGAGGCTTCAAAGTTTGTAAATGACATTTTGTCAGATTTTGCTTCAATATTTCTTCACAGACTCAATTTCCAAAGATAGTCCAAGCAAGTATAAAAACAATTGAAGGTATGGCTTTCGTATGGCTAAATGATGATGGAAGGTTGGCAAGGTAACGCAATCCAATAGTTTGGTAAAGACCAAAAATGAATTTAATGGAAAGGTTTAAAATAAAAAAATAATGTCATCAAATCAAATCCCTACATATGTTTGGGTATAAACACGAGATGTGAAATTTTAAAGATAATCTGAAATCAATCAAATAAAGAAAAAGATTTAGGTTCCACCGTGGACTAATCAGAGAAATCAGTGGACTTTTAAAAAACAGAATTGACAAAGGTGTGAAATGGGAGAAAAACAGTCATTAAATAACACAAAATGTTACAAACAGATTTCAACGACTGGTGTAAACAATCGACGCACCTGCTTCGCCTGGGCAACAGTGTCGGCATTTGGACTTGGAGGAAGCTCCTGAGGTTTTGGGTGATATGACACACCAGATGACCCACCGCTGGGACAACAGTCTCCTGGTCCAACCGCAGCTTTTTTTCTTGACTTGGCCGTTTTTCTGGAAAAAAAGAGAACCGAAACATACATTTAGAGAAAATACTCATCAAACTCTATCAATCATTTTATGTACAGATTACTTTTCGCATATCAACATTTTCTTTTTCCCCTTCTTGGCAGCTCATGTGTCCAATATGTCAACCTATTTTTCTCTGTGCATAACATCTTAGCCTTATCCCTCTATTTCTCCAAACTGCTCAACTCACGCTCATCTCTGTTCCTGCCAATTTTGCTCGCGCCAAAGAAGATGTTAACATTTTCAGAGCTTCCTATTCTTTAGATATTGCCTGAAAGTCAAACACAAAAAATGTGTGATGTGAATGACGCTTACTCTTTGGTGGCCTCAAGGAACATGGCAATTTGTCGCTTTATGTAGGGCTGCCGGAGGATGTGCTTGACATCAGGTCTGTCTTCGGGTTTCTTACAAAGCATGCTCTTGATCAACTCTCCGAGATGGGGGTGGTACTGGCTCGGCATTGGTGGCAACTAAAGAGCAAGATTATTTTAAAAAAATAATAATAATAATAAAAGAAAAAGCAATAATCTTTGGATGAAGTTTAGATGATTTCACAATAAAATAACCTCCCCCAACAAATCTAAAATGACAAAACTCAGTCCAGCAGATTTACCTGCAGAGCTCCTAAAAGAACAAAAAAAAAACTATCTGCCCTAATTCAGATTAATATTATAAAATGACATATTGCTACCTTGCAACTTATCTAAAGAATGAAAAAATAAAACCAACCTTTCCTTCTACAATGCGATAAACCAGTGAGTTCATGTCTTTGGCATTGAAGGCGTGCTTCAACGTAGACATCTCATACACACAGCAGCCCAGGGCCCATACATCTGACTGGAGACAGCATCACAGGCAGAGCATGAGAATTTGTCAATTTTGCCAAGACAGGAATAAATTTGATGCTTGACTGAAAACAGTGATGTTACCAAGAAAGAAAATAAGAAAGAAGCACTGAAAGAAAGAGAGAAATGAAGAAAAGCTGCGTTCAGAAATAAAATAAAAAGAGGTTAATACATTCATTCTGACCTCTTAACTTTTATAAATTAACTAAATAAAATTTTAATCTGAAAAAGAAGCAACTGAATTTATTTAATCAATTGCTAGTGCAACCAAGCTTCTTTAATTAGTGGGAGCAGAAAACCAGAATACCTTGTGGTTGTAGGGTTTATTAGAAAAGAGCTCTGGACTCATATAGTATGGGGTCCCAATGAGAGTGCTGGCCATGTCATTTTGGTTCTCCAAAACACGTGCAATACCCAGGTCTCCCACTTTGATGATGTTGGTTTTAGTCAGGAAGATATTCTGCGTTTTAAGGTCCCGGTGAAGAATATTCCTCTCATGGAGGTACTGGAAAGCAAATAAATCACAAATATGACTTCCCGATTTCCAAAAGTGATTCATCCCAATTTCAGCCAAGTGTGCCAGTATGTTGTACCTGAAGTGCCATGGCTATCTGGACAAACCACTCTACAACCTGCCTCTCTGGCAAATGTTCCCCTTTCTGCTGTTTGAGTCTGTGATAGAGGTCCCCGCCTTCGCAGAAGCCCATCACGATGTACAGCTGACGGTCGTCTCCTTCCCACGACTCCCTGTAGGTCACAATGTTGGGATGTCGCAGCTGGGACAGAAGCTGAGCCTCCTGCTCTGCGGCACGGCGTTCCCGTTTGGATGATGTGGTCAAATTCAGCTTCTTTATCACATACTGGAGAAGCACAAAGCATAAAGCGCATAAAGCAACATGCAGTTCTTTGCCAAAGCACTCACACCTCTTTACCTTTATTCACATTTTGATATTTCACAACCTCAATTGCATCTTTTGGTGATTTTATATGGTGGACCAACACTAAGCAAAATTGGAGCCAAGGGGGCTGAATACAAATGCAGGCAACATTTCAAAGAATGTACATTTATCATTATGTAACCTTACAGTTCTTCACAACTTTTTCATCTAGCAGATAAAATCTAATCAAACAAAATCCACTGAAGTTTGTGGTTGTAAAGTGGCAAAATATGGAAAATATGATTTATTTTGGAAGCCACTGCATAGACAAATATGTATCAAAACATCACACAAATATTTTCTCCTCATATCCAGCTCATATTTCAGCACAATTACAAAAAGCTGTATACAATTAATACAGAAAGTGTTTTCACTCAGAAATCCGTTTTATATTGAGTATTTGGCTGAAGAAATAAAATGCTACTACAAAACTATATCTTTTGCTACACACAAAAAAATGGCAGCAAATCCCTTATGTTTAAACCGACTTTTAGGTAATTTTACAATGCTTTGGCGAACTCACTACAAAAGCACGGCCTTTTTTAACACACACTTAAACCATTAACTGTTTTTAGATTTGTTTCCCACCTGTTTTCGGTCCGTCTTGTGCTTCACCAAGTTCACCTCTCCGTAGCTTCCTTTCCCAACGACCCTGATGAAACTGTAGCTGTTCATGGTCGGTCAAAAGCCCAGCCGGCGCTAGACGACGCGCCCAGAGAGAGCACAGCTGCCGCTCCGTCCCATGGTTCGACAGAACCCTCCGTACAAACAACAGGGGGGGAAATCTCCGAGTTAGCTTGGAAAGCAGCGATGTGATTTTTTTTTCTCAAAAGACAGGAAATCAGAAGCTGTGGATAGTTTGTCATCACTAGGCAACCGAGACTAGAGAGTGGGAGGGTGGGGGGGTCAAATCTAATGTTTTCCCTGCAGCGCCATCTAGAGGCTGGAGTGCAACGTTTCACCGTAAGAGGTTAGTCACAGAGCAACTTGTTGTCTTCATTAATATTTACGTGCGGAATGTGTCTGATAATCAGACTGACGTGTTTTTATTTGCGAAGTGGTTGAGCTGCGCCTTCACCATTAAGGTCATATGTGAGGAAAAATCTTTAACTGCACACAATAAACAAAAACAGGTTCCTTCAAAGAGATAATACTCAAGCAATGTCATGCAGATATGTCGTATTGTGATTGTTATAAATCTTTTACAAATCTGTATTTTAACATATATTTGCATCAAGCAATCACATATTGACGTCCAAAATGAAGTTACAATGAGAGACAAGGTGACATTGGGTGTATTGTTTTTCATGTTGCATTCCACATGTGTTAAACAGCTAAATCATGGTCTCATATCACCAGTGGACATTCTTTCACATGTTTGAAGTTTCCTTCATCAGGCTTGCAGAGGACTTTGAAAAAATAAAAACTCAATTGTAGAAGCAAACACACATGGGGTGTGTTTATCATCTTCCAATACTTGGGCCTTTGTTTAAAGGAAAAGCTTCAGAAAGCATAATTAAACACACAAGAACACATATAGAAAATATTGTGTTTTACTTTTAATCCACAGATGCAAAAAATTGTTACAAAACATCTGCACCACTGACCAGTTCAACCTATCCCAGCAGTAATGAAATCAAGATGGGTCACACCTCTCTGTCTGAAAAAATGGACAGTATGTACAGTAGCTGTACAATCATTTCAAAACTTTCACAGATCTGAAGAGAGTGCAAACAAGTAATTCAATTCAGAAAATAGCTGGGTTTACTTTCAGACACTTGAGTAAATTGGGACAAATCAGGCATTTCAACTTGCTTGCACAACTCCAACAGTTTCTGAGACATGCCTCACTATTATGCCTGCTTAGTATCATATAGCTTATTTACTGGGTTTTTATCGCCTCTGCTATAGAAAACAAGGATTGACTATAAAACCCTATGTGTTTGACAAATGTTGCAGGTCTTACAAAGCCGACAACAGAAACGTGACAAGTCTACAGGTAAGAAAAAAATGTATAAAATTCAGTTAATCAAATCAAACACTGTAAAAGCTTATGTAATAAGCCAGGAGAAAAAATTAATACAACAGTTATTATTACTGCAAAAGTACAACCTTAGTGATGTTACATATTTGGATTCCACCACGATTATCATTCTAAAGTGTCCACAGAAATATGCTGACGGTTCTAGTACCTGCATTAACACCACTAGGAAAAACATGAGTTCAAGTTTGTGTTAGCTTCAACTTTATATCCAGGAAATGCTAAACGATCTAATGTTGGGTTTACTCTTTACAATTTCACCTGAAACATCAGAGAAACTTACAATCAAAGTGCTTTGGCAACAATTCAAGTCTTTCATTATTCACCATGCAAACAGGACAGAAGAAGAAAAAGGCTAGGGCATTTTATGTCCTCAAAGAAATGGTAATGTTTAAGTTCAGAGGGCCACCTCACACAACGGGACTTAGAATAATAATTTCCTCTGTTGTTTCGGGCTCTGCAGTTTTGTTCGGTCACGTAAGGCGATAGTTGTTTGTGTATGAAAACTATTTGGAACGGACAGAAGCAGTAATTACATTACAAATGTATACGTATAAATTCTCCAATCACTTTCAAATCCCTCCACATTTATTGTTGCCAGCTGTAAATATATATGTATATAAAAAGCATATTAAAATAATTGTCATCTTACATGGTAATCCTCCCCCATCGGGTGTTGTGTCAAAATAAACTTGAGTCCTCAGCCAGTTTTGTTTCAAGTCCCATAAATTTTGTCAAGGTTGCCCTGACTATAGGTATGGATATGTTTAGGAAAGTCCCTATTTTATGTCTGATGAAGATGAACATTCATCACATTTAAACAGAAAGTCATGGATCACTGATTACAAGTTCCTGAACACATAAATGAACATAGAAAAGTAAAGTGTATTTTACAAAATGCTCCAGTTATTCATAGATGTCACAGCAGCCAATAACTCTGGTGACTTTCTATAGCGGCATTTTTTACCACTATAATAAAATCAACAAATAATTGCCGTACTGCACTAACATGTTTCATGTTTTGAAGAGTGACCAAGAAAAATTATGCTCTTTATCATGTCATGTTTATTCCCTAAGGAGAAGAAAGTTTAACTTGCAATTCCTAGAAACTGTAATAATTTAAAGTAAAAGTTTAAATTAAAAAAAAAATTCTTCTGTTACATCTGTTTTACAGGAATTCTTCTGGAGTCAGAAATATTCCTGTAAAACAGTTTTTTTTAAGTGACTTGTCTAAAAATGATTTCTTAACACCGAATTCTTTTCCCAAATTGAATAAAATTACACAAAACAAGTTAGATTTTGACTCATTTTATGTATAAACATCCTTCTATTGCAACCAAACACATTTATTTTGAAACTTTTCACATATTTTTCAGCCAAGATGCCGACAAATGTGTGGTATTTCAAAACACCTGGATGAAAGAGAATGTTAGCATCTGGCTCGCAATTTACAAATAATACATTCCCAATCCTTTACCTTTAATGTGTTTAACAATGACACATACTGCAGACATAGTCCCAGCACGTTAATTACATGACTTTTACTGGCCCCACATGTCACTTAACGGGCCAAACTGTGTTTTTTCTACTTTGAAAATGGATCTACTACAGCTATTTTTGGAAAAGTGGTCATTATTAGAAATTTATTGATAAGTACATATTTATAAAAAATGAATAAACATTTTCCAAACTTGAATTTAAATTCTTTTGACAATTTAAACATAATTTCTTTAGCCGATGGAAACAAAATGAAACCGTATTCATACAATATTCTTATCATTTTGAACCTAAAAGTCACTGGAGCAACTTGAAGAGTTTGTATGTTAACTGTATCACTTACTGCAAGAATCAAAGACTTTTACTCTTAGCAAAGATAGTCAAAATAACGAGCCACACATTGCTAAAAGTCAGGATAAGATGACAAAATACTGCTCACAGTTGCTTCTGATAAAATAGAAATAGCTTATTTAAAAAAAAATACATCTAACTATTAAGAAACTCCAGAAAAGTGAGTAGTCTGAAGATTTGGTGATGACATACTCCATATGCCACAGAAATGTATCTGGCAGGTTTTACATTTACTACGTACTAAAATGACAGCAGGCAACATCTCTGGACGTAAAAGGCTGCTTCTGTTGTGTTTTCTGTTGCCTGTTTGCTCCCTTAAACGTCCTGGCAGGCCCATTTGTTCAGAAGGCTTTTATTTTCTGAACCAGACCATTTACCCCTTTTATTTAAGAAGCCAAATCTGACACAATCATGCGACATATCAACACGAGTTGCTGCAGGGTCATCCATCCAGCGAGAAGCGAGAAGCACACGTTAAAAAAATGAGAATGTTGGAGCAACAGGAATTCTCAGCCATCTTGAAAGCCTCAACTCTGGATAAATTTTACTCCAAGAGATCCTATCAAGAGACACAAGCAAGAAAACCGAGACTTTAGTTTTGGAATTTACAAAGGGTTTCAATTTTTATTTTAAAATTAAGTCTATATAATGTGGTATGCATTTGTACCGAGCTCCATTTAATCTGATTCTCCAACACAAATTAAGAACTCCGATTTTTGCACAGATTTTCACAAGGCACCATGTTGCCGTATAGATCCAGGTCAATGGGTCTATATGCAAGTACTACACACTTGATCTGGGTCATCGTTGAACTGCGTTTTGTCTGTCTCCATGTAGTTGGTGTCGACGTCGTCTACTCCCTCGATTTTGTTTGCTTCCACGTGTTCCCTCATCACAGAGTATCGGTGAACCAGGAACCTGGAGGAAACGGGAGCCATGTGAGCAGTGGGATGTGGGTGGCGGGATCAGGAAAAAAAAAAAAAAAAAGAAGAAAAAACGACAACTCACCTTCCACCACAGACGTACTTCTTCACCAGCCAGACACCTGTGAGGACGCTCACCAGGAGTATCGCCATGACAGCCATCACGATGACAGCAGCGTTGGGTGAACCGCTGTCGGTCTGTTCAGTGTTCAGCGATAGACACAAACAGATGAGAAGAAGCAACACAATCTGGCGTAGGTTTTCTTTGTCCTCAGCTGTAACAATAATCATCTGCACAGTAAACATAAAACATTCTGCAAAACATCAACGCCTCTGTGTCTTTCCTACATCTCAGGGTTTCTGGGCTTAATAGAGACTTAGACTTAGAGACTTACACTTCCTTTATTGTCATTGTACAAAAAAAAAAACACAAGGTGAATCTTGACAACGAAATGTCATTGATACATTCATTAGTTGTTGTTTTTTTTGGAGTTTTTGGTTTTTTTTTCGGAGATTTGTAGCCCTGTGATGAATTGGCGACTTGTCGTCAATAGGCACCAGCTTCCCTCGCAACCCTGCAAGGATAAGCATGGTGGATAATGGATGGTTGAATGAATGGTACTGTAAAGAACCGAACTTAACCCTAACAAGAACCTTAAAATTAATGGTTGTTATGGAGACATGGTGATTCTACCATCTCACTTTTCCTCTAACACTTGATCTTTCTGGCTTTTTTTTTCCATTCTCTACCATCCTCCTAACTTTGCATGGTGGCAAAGTAAACTTGGATCCCTGTCCAGCCATGTTCTAGTTGGAATAAAGAGAAATCCTAAAATAAATTGTTGTTATGGAAACTGTGTGACCACAAGATGCCACTCTTTTCTGCAGCTCTCAAACAGCGAGCTTTTTCTTTTACATCCCTGACCTTCCTCGCTCTGTAAAGTAAACTTGGGTACTCATCCAGCCTTGTTTGTCACAGTTCAAGATGTTTAAAACCTTTTTGCTTTTTAAGGGGGAAGTCAAAAGAGACGCTGCATGTCCATCTAACCAATGCAGTCAGCTTGCTTTTTAAGACGGAGATAAACTGACCAGAGATTTGGAATGAAGGGCGTCACTGATGCACAACCTCCTTAAGTCGATCTCCTTTCTCTCCGGCTGAAAACCTCCTTCACACTGGTTCCCAGGAACCTTCCGGTATCTTGAATTTGGAGATAAACGTCACACGCACGGATCAGGCGATAAAAACAAAAGAGAAGGTCGTGATCATGTCACCAGTGGAAACATTTGAACTTTTTAGTTTTTTTTTTTTATATCCAGTCTGCTTAGAAAATATTTGTGTAAATTAACAAGCTGTTAAATAGCTGAATAAAGTGACATCTAAACTGCCAGGCTCAGAGAAGAAATATAATTCAATAATGCAACAAAGCCCGAGGTGACGCATCAGGATTTGAATGAACTTGAAAGTGTGACCAGCCCACTCACCCACTGGTCTGCAGCTGCTCAGTCGTCCCATTCAAACAGAACTCCAGAGCGTGGCCCACCAGCTCCTCCTGCTCCACACACTCCGACTTGTTCTCCGGCCGGTAGTAACCAAAGTCACTGCGGGTGAAAGGTTTTTGAGACCCATATTTAATGAGTCACAAATAAAAAAATGAATATACATGATATTCTGCAGAAGTTGAAATCTAAAACCTTCCCTCACTCATGAAAATCAAAGCGTTTAAACCATGGTCAAACAAATACACTGATTATTAATTAAGATTTTCAAGAGGCATTGTTTGACTTATAAAACTGAGGCATACATGAAAAATACTTCAGGTACATTTACCTTATATTTCTATCGACCGACATGTTCTCCTGAGTTTGTATTCTACATATTATCTAAGACAAATAGGCCTCTGTGTCACTCCATATTCACACGGAAACAGCAAGTTTATCTGAAAGTTGCAAAGCAACTCTGATCAACTAAAAAAAAAGTAAAGAATGATCTATAAATATTTTTACAGAGGGGTCGTTTTGGCACAGATAAATGTGTTAATTGTTTTGCAATGCTGAACTTTTCTGCCACTGAAATAAACATGAGAAATAGTTTGGATTATTATTTTATTTTCATCCAGACATTTTGCTGCTACTATAAAACATGTTCATTTTGTACATCGTTGTTTGTGACAGTCCATGTGGTTTTCCTCACTTTGTAAAGCGGATGAGAGAAGCCAACCTCTGTCACATTGTATTTACACTCCAAGAAATAGGAAGCCATGAATTGTTACTCAAACGCTTCTCTGATTAAAAGACTCTCTGATGGCTTTTGATAGAAGTTACATAGAGATAAACAAAATGCTTCATTTGTTTTAGGTATCGGAGGTTTTCTCTCCCTTTGATTAAAACTATGTAAATTAAAAGTTGGTTAAAAAAAGACACTGTGGCACATAGATCAATATATTTAAACACATCTTTAAATGTTTTACCAAGGATTTCAATAATGTATGGTCCTGTACTTCTTTAGCTCAGGACTTTAAAAAGTGCAACATGTGGTCATCTTCATTCCTATTATATCGATAAAATTTGTCACGTGGTACAATTTTCCTAAAATAAAACACATTTTTGCATTTTATTTTTCTTTTACAGAAATATTCTATATGGAAACTTAAAATCACTTTTGTGCATTTCAATTTTACTGAAGAGATAACAGGAGAGAAGGACAAACCAATGGTAATCTGCTGCTGAGCAAGGACAAGGCAAGTGCTTCTTGGTGATGGCGAAGTCTCTTCCATTCCAGCACACTGAATCTTTCCTCAGGCGTAAGAAGGTTTCTCTGAAGCCCATCACGCAGCCGTCATTCGAACCACTGGGGTCTGCAGAGTGAGCCAGCCACTCTTCATAGTCCCTCTCATTGCCTGCACGGCGACAGACGCCCTGAGCTGAAGCACACTTGCCCTCATGCATTATAATCTAACATCACAGGTGTGTTCCTTCAATTATACTCACAGTCCCTGGAGAGGAGCTTCCTAAAGTCTATGGTGATCACCACCCATTTGGTGTAGTCGTTCCTGTAGCCCCACAGGCTGACGTTCATGGAGCGAGAGCCAGGCTCGCTGTCCATGCCGCTGAAGTGCAGCAGGTCGCTGGTGAAGTTATACGTATGCCAGCATTGGCCTTCATCTGTGGAGAACCTGAAGGGAAGCGGGAAGAAGTGATGGCACCTGGTAAGGAATCCATACTTTTTTTTTTCTCTGAATTTGTGGTTGTTTTTTTTTAATTACAACCAAAAACATCCATGTGTTTTATTGAAATTTTATTTGAGACAGGAAGACAAAGGCAGTTTGTCAAATTTCCTTGCAAATATAATTTTGAAAAGTGTGGCGTTCATTTATATTCAAGACTCTTTACTCGAAAGGCCAAAAATAAAGTTCAACAAATCGTGCTTTTTTTCAACTAAGTAATTGATGATAGGGGCGATACAGCCTTCCTGCAAAAGATGTGAAACTAGGGTGGCAGTTCAACTCCCAGCTGGAAAATGACCCTAACTAAACACTCAGAGCTGCAGACTAGTTCAGATTAAAGCATATGCATGACTGGGAATGGTCCAGTCACTGTCCAGATGTCAAGGCAATTGAGAATCTATGTGACAAAAATTAAAAATTGTTGGTCAAACCAACTGGATTTTTTCTCATTTTACTAAACATTGAACATGAATGTTTTGAGATAAATGTTCTAAATGGAAACAAAAAGCCCTATACATCAATCAAATACTTACAGCAATAAAAGAAATGTATTATTCTCATGAGAGAAATGATACTTAATCAAAACAGTGGCACCTTTAAAAATTTAAAAATTGCTTTAAAATTTCAAACCAACTAAGTCCTAATTACTTAAGGGTATCAGAGTAAAGCTTGTTCATAACACTATGACAATCCCAAACCCAAATAAAATAAAATATGCTAAACCTAGAGATATAATCTCACTTTATCTGGTTGATAGGTGAGTTGGTGTGCTCCACAGCAACCAGCAGTCCTCCAGAGTCCAGGATCGCGTAATGATGGGCTCCCTTCAGAGCCCGCAGCCATGAGTAGCCCCCGTCATCAGACACGTACACATCAGGAGCCAGATCAGACTCTGAGTCTCCAACACTGCCTGAAGAGAGGGAACAGGAAGCGGCGTGAAGAATAATTCGGCAGACAGTTCAGAGCAGACGGAAGTATCTTTGTGCGTTTCCCACCGTGAGCCAGGATGAGACCGACCGCGTTGGACTGCGAGAGCGGCAGCACGGGAACGTTCATTTTCATGGCTGTGCTGTACGAGGCATATATGTGAAGCTTGCACTGTAACATCAAGACGAGCAGCACTGAAAATCCCCCTTCACCAAAACACATGTAACCTTGCAACACTTCATCCACAAGGCAACGGGAGCTCGTCTCACTCTGCTTGGTCTGTTGGTGGAGGTCTCAGCATCGCAGTCGGTGTTCTGGGGTCTGCGCAGTGGCTGCCACTTGGCTCCTTGGTCATATGTGATCACTGTCTCTATGTTACCCTCTGCCAGAAGAACACAAAAGTCCCAGATTAGCAGATACTCAGCCGAGAAAATAAAAAAAAAAAAGCTATATTCCATTAAACCATTTTAAATATTATATGGCAGAAAAATTACATTCTTGTGATAAAGTCAGATGTGGGTTGCATTTGCCTGCTGTGAGAACACAGCCATGGTTTAAGATGACTTTGTCCCTTTTCCTCAGTGAAAATAACATTTGATCCATGTCGACTCACCCTCTGTGAGTATGCTGGTCATGTAGACGCCCCGCAGGGAAGAAATGGCGGTGAAGTCTGTGTCGCGTCCTGTGGTTGTGTAGAGATGCCGCTCCAGTGACTTGGAGAAGACAGTCCCACTGTCATCCGACACGTAGATGGTTCCAACGCCCGAGTCTGCCCCAGACAGGACGTATAGCACAAATAGTATTAACGTCTCTGCTCTAAACCGTGACCCACCAGTGGATCCTTACAGAAAGCGGTTCTGATTTTCAGGAATCTTTCTTTGCCTGTGGGTGAGGCTTATTCGCTATCTGAACGATCAGAAATCAGAGACACGGTCAACATCTTTAGATGCGATCAACACTAAACATGGCTCACTAACGCTGACCTCCGGGGTCATCCACGTGCATGAAGATCATGTCCTGATTGGCTGCAAGGATGGAGTAGAACTGCTGATGGTCGACAGCGGGAAGCTGAGCAATGTTCCAGTGATCCCCGCCGTCTACAGAGACATGGATCACACGCTCTGTACCCTAACGCACAAAAACACATGTGACATGCCTGATTTAAGGTGTACTAGTAAATTTTATGCAATGCAATGTCTAAGAAGGAGCAAAGCAGCTTGGAAAGTTCTCAATTGAAAACCTTTGCTTAGTTTTCATGAAGAAACACAATAATGAGCCAAAATGAAAAGACACACATACCATCCCGGTCATGATGGACGAAAAGACAAATTTTCCTCCAAGGACAAAGGAGTAAACTCTGGATGCAATTGTGTGAAACGTTTTGCCGTAGTCCAATGTTTTCTTTAAATCTAGCATCCCTTTGTCTTCTAAAAGGAAAAGGAACTGTTTTTTAAAATTTGGACTGGATTACATGTTAATATACAACTTTGTATCATCCTGTCTTACTGCATGATCCGTTAGTGTTGGTTGTTATGTAGATGCTGTTTCTTGGACCCCTGAAACAAGAAAGGGAGAAACAGAAGAAATCCTGAATATAATAAAAAAATAATAATAATAATTTAATTTCCTAGTTTAAAGGTAAAAACAAATGTGACGGTTTAATTAATGCACTCGTTTAATCCTCCCAGGCAGCACTCCAAGCTGTGCTGCCAGACAAGGATGACAGTTTCTACACTGCAGCTGGATCAAGGACAACAGGCTGAACAGGAGACACATTCCTGAGTCGTGATTCAGCCTGAGAACCACATCAGCTTCTGCTCTTTGTGGTCAGTGTAAGGCTCGGGCCCAAGATGACTGTGGTGGCTGTGCAGATAAGCAACCGTGGGCCGACTAATCAGAGGAAAGCAGAGTTAGGAAAGCCATCTTGTAGAAAAAGCAACGATGAGCATGCAGACTGCATGGGCACAAACAAGCAGACTGCAGTGCAAAAACATGTTGGTCGTCACTTTCTTTCGGTCAGAAACTGTGATGATACTCTAACTGTATTACTTCACCAGTACTTAGCAATAAACTCAAGAGCCAAAAGATGATTTAAAGGTGTGTTTTTTTTTTTGAAGCAGTAAACCGTCATGACTTGTTTTTCCCACCAGAGCAGTAAATTTTGTGATTTATTTTATTCATTTATTTATTTTTTTTACTCTATACATTTCTGAGAATTAAACATACAATAAATATTTGCAGAATCAAAGATTATCATAAAACATTATCTTCTATTTTTCTGGAAATGGAATTAAGTTACATTTTATTATGTTTCAGTTATATATGTAAAAGTGTTTAATATCAGTATTTGGAAAACTTTTCCCCCCTAAATGTTATGTTTTGTTTGTAATTCAGATTTTCACACTTAGTCAGACTTTTTCTGACAATATCACATAAAATTTTGTAATCATTTATTGCTTACTATTGCATTTGATAGTTTTACTTTTTGTTAGCAAGAATAAATCGGAATATCAAATGTTATATTTTATCTATCTGAAACCAATTGAGTCAAGAAGAAAAGCTCAACTTCAACCTTGTAACATTTTTGGTAGTTTCCAAAACATTTATGTCATGGTTTAGTCATTTAGATAAGATTAGAGCTGTTAAAACAGCAGGCCTTTTGTTAGACAAGACAAGACATGATGACAGATAAGTTTATTTTTTTAATCTGTTGCTCACCTGCCTCTCTTTTGAATGTCACCCTGGGCAACTGCCCAGATAGTCCACGTCAAAGTACCACTGTCCAGATGCAGCTATGTCTGACAGGAGGCCTGCCATATTTTCTTCCCCTTTCAACTCTTAGGCTTATTTCAGTAACATGCTTTATGTCATCTACAATTTAAGATGTTTTTAATGTAAGTGAAACTTCAGCAGCTGATAGTTGAAAATATTCTGAGAGAAACTCTCACCATCTGACCAAACACACACTGTTGTGTATTTTCCTCCAGGTGGCGCCAAAGTTATCAGACAGCCACAGGTCCATCTGGAAAGGAAGGAAAATTTTTAGTCATAAATAATGTCGATCGGGAGTAAAATGACTGGCTCCTGAAGAATAAGCAGCAGAGTCGGGGAGGTCCAGTTTAGCTCCACTAAAACTCAACATTCTTGGCAAACAGAGCGCTGCTACCGTGATACTGAGTGTCAGAAGTGTGTTGCAGTCCCCGGGGTTGTACAGCATCTGAATGAGGGGCACAAACGGCAGATCCGTCGGTTCAAAGGTCAGACCAAAGTCCCGCGAGCGATAAAGTCGAAACCCACCGAACTCCGACACTTCGCCAGTCAGGATCACCTGAATACAACAAAAAAAAAAGATATAATGATTTAAAAAATAAATATATTATACGAGATCCAACATCTATTAGCTTTGGCTCTTAATGAAGGGTTCACCTTTCCTGAATGATCCGGACTGATGGCAATGCCAAACTCTGTCTGGATGAAAGTGTGGTTGATCACATTAGTCACGTCTTTGAACGTCTTCCCGTAGTCTTCACTGACACACACACAGAAGCCTTGGTTTAGCCACATGGAACAAAGCAACCTTAAAACACCAACTAATCCATCTTTGTTAAAGGAGCCATTCCTCACCTCCTGTAGAGGTTAGACTGGCCAAATCGCATTAAGAACAACGGCACATGAAACGTTGTTAAAACCAAGAGCACCTGGGAAGAAAAGTGTTGCACAACAGCTCTCATATACGTACATTTTATCTAAACAGATACACCTAAATATAGTGTGTAAATCTCAAAATATTTTATTAGGAATTCAAGAGATCGATACAAAGTAGGAGAGAATCGAGTAAAATGAAAATAATGCATGGTTCAAACTTTTTAAAAAAAAAATAAAAATCTGAAAAGTGTGGAATGCATTTGTATTAAAATACATTTTCTCTCCTTGCAATGTAGTTCAAATTCAAACAGACTGAATGGGAAATAATGATCTTCATTGGACTTATGTCTCAAAGTTGACTTGACCTGTCTAAGACACAAAATGAACAGCTTTTAATTTCAGCAATCATGCTGAGATTAAATTCAAACACAAACACATGCATTCTCTAATCAAGGGAGGAACTGATTGCACTGGATTTTATTTAGAAGCAAAGAGAGCTAAATAAAAAATCCAGGTAACATTTGGTTGGAAAGTTAAAAGTATCTGAATACATTGCAAACCAGTGTATAGATATGTGAACGAACTCACCCCTGATCCGTCTCCCACCCAGGCAAGCGAGAGTGAGCTCATTGAGCGCACTTTGAACATATACTGAAAGAGAAGACACAAGACCGAGGAGGTGAAACAATCGTCATGCAGAACAAGCAGAAGCTGGCAAAGAACACGTTAAAATATGCTGGTGGAATTTCCCTTACACTATTTTGGTTTTAAAACAAAGGTAAATGTAGAGTAGACATAGTTTGAGAGTGTTCCTGTTTGTTCTTTGTGCAGCGGACAGACCAGCTGAGAGGACAGAACGTCCATACTGTCCAAAGTAACTCTGTCATTTGGATGCACTCTGCATGTGTGACCTACATTCTTGTGTAAATCACAAAGATTAGGTCAGACAACAAAGCAACTGCCGAGGACACCTAACATACATTAGAGCTGAACAGACTCCATTCAACAACAAAAAATTTACTGTTAGCGTTAGCATACTTTTAAATGCATTTCTCAACCAACTGAGGTGAAAAAAAAAACATGGGAAAAAGAGCTGTGACATAATACTAGAAGCAGCAGAGAGCGAGTTTAGATTTCAAAACAAATGCTGGGACTGGAAACGGCATTCCCATCCATCTGTCCATCCGCTGTGACTCTAGCGTGTGGGTTTCAAAGCCTCGTCTCACACTGTTTGGAATGCAGCAAGGTTTATTTTGTTTTTGTTATTTTCCCCTCCCTCCACTCATCAGCTGATGAGGCGGGCATGTTTACAAGGTACGTGAAGGCTCAGGGGGAGTCTGCAAAGCTCTGTAAAACTGCAGAAGATTGCATGGTCTGTTGTCTGTGAGCTGAAAATTCCTTGTAAACAGGCCCAAAGGAAACTGGCCTGCTCTCTTCTGTCCAACTCTGCAAACACAAATTTCAGTCTCCTCTGCATAAATCACCCCACAACGCTCTCCCATCATCCATCTGTTCTGTTTTCTCTATTTTTGATCAGCTAAAGAGTTGGCAATCGAAGTGGTGCTAGTTTTTAACAGTTCAGTGATACTGCGAGGCAGTTCTTGAAACTCCTACATGAAATCAAATTCAGTCAGTGACATTCACACATCTCTGAGGCCTAGTTGAACATGGAGTTTGAAGTAAAGCTAAAGTGTTAATATGAAGTACATACAAGGATTAAGCTGATCAGTTCAGGGCTTTTAAAAATTTAATTGAACTGAGCTTTTTTCCATAGTGGAAAGTTTATAGAACACAAGATTTTGGTTTATAAGTTTAAATTTAGTGGATTTTCCTTTTAATTGCAAGGTCAATATCATGCATACAAATATATAAGGATGTTTCTGTGTTAAGTGCTCTAAGGACCAGGGGACTTTGGATTGCCTTTTGTTTTCAATGTCCAAAGAGACTGCCTTTTTGGTGTCACTTGTTTGATTTTCTTTCTGGGATAATTGGCAGGGATGTCCCATGCACCCATCTACCGAATTTAGATGAGTTTCCATTAACCTTGAAACTGCGCAAATTGAATTGACAAAATAAATATGCTTAACGGAAACATGGTAATTTTGACAAAACTCAAGTTTTTGCACAATGTGTTTTGGGGTCCAGGATGTGACGGTTTTCAGCCGTATTTAAATGGACATATTTCGCAAAGCCGCAATGGAAACACTTGTTGTGCATCACAAGTCACAGATGTTACCACTGGCAAAAAGAAGAAGAATAAATAGTAGGAGGATGATGGTTTGTTTTTGGGTCGTTTTTTTCCGGACAAGGTGCAGCTGGCTCATGAACTGTGCTTTTCATCACACAGTTCATGAAAAGTTGAGTGTCATTCAAACATGTTGAATCCACAGCTCTTCTAAAGTTTTATGCAATTTTCCATCAAATTTTGTAGATCCTTATGAACACAAGGTCAGATTAGGTAAAATTTGAAACTCTTAGTTGTTTTTTGTCCCACTGGATTTTGGGGTACGAAGAGGAATGAATGCAAGTACATAATCCACAGTTTTCAGGCTTTCTACTATGAAAAATGTTGTTCGTATCACTCATCCTCCACTTTACAATTATTCACCATTTCCTTTAGTTGCATAAATGCCCCTAAAAACATAATGACTTTTATATTTTGCAATGTGAAAAATGTGAAAGATACTGCATCTATATCTGAAAATCCAGCTGGACCAAATCAGATTGGATGATCATAGGTGAAACAGTCATCGAACCACTGAGCAAACTGCTTTCAGTAAATGACGATGAGCATATAATGTATTAGATAAAGTAGATTTAATGAGAACTAAAAAGCTATTGCCTTAGCAAGAAGCTAAAATGAGGAGATGTTCCTATTTGAGGTCTCAGTACAGACATGACCTCATGTTGCTGCACATGACGAATGCAGTCTAGATCTGCTCCTGAAAAGCCTCTCCAGCCCTTTATCTGCAGCTTCCCTCTTGACACTGGCGTTCAACTTTGAGCTTTCTGACATGGACAGCAGTGTTTGATCAGTGACCATCTTGCAGCTGCACTAGAGAAAAAAAAAACCATGCACATATGCCTTCGCAGACTTCCACAGTCGGCATGAAGGCGGACGGCCCCGAGCGTGGGTGACGTCCTCTCAGAGAGGTCGGGATGCCAATACAATGAAGTCCTTATTCCCTCTGCGCTGGGCCTTCGCGTTCAACTTTAGCCCTGTTTACACACAAAACTTCAGAAGAAGAGGTCAAGCTTCAAGTCTCTGATTCCACACTCAAAGCTGTGTACACCAGGCCTATGTCACCGGACAGAATGACACGCTGGCTAGAACTACCTAAATCATTACTCAGAAAAACCGTAAAACAAGAGAAGCTCATCACAACAACAGGCCATGTTTTGAAATGAGTACAGAAAGATGGCAGCACTGGCTTCAGTCGTTAGCATGCAAGAATTACATCATGACTCATTGTGTTTAACTGAGAAATACCACAGGTGTTGGTAATTCTGTTGCTAAACTTGGCAACTTTTATTTTTATACCTCAAGAGTCAACTTTCAGAAATCCAATTTGATGTTTGGATTGTAAACAAATTAGCCGTAGCTGACCTGGCTTTTCTTGTTTGCATTTATAATGGTGAAGTATGACATAAAGGGCAGAATGCTGAAACTTAAAAATGTGCCACTGACGTGGCACAACGCTTAATGCAGTCGCCTTATCAGAAATAAAGTCACACTGACATAAAAGATTTGATACCTGATGTCAATTAACAAAATATCTTGAGCTGGAGCCAAATGTCAGCGTTATGTTATGTGTAATATTGCGCTGCTTTTACACTTCAGAATATCTTGTATGCGTATTGGATTTATTTATTCGTTCACGTAATAATTTCTTGTGTGTGTCCTTTCAGACAGCTAATGAAAAGAATATGGCGGATCCGATTGCATGGCCGTGTCAGATCAGAACTGTTCTGCTGCAAGAGTGTAAGATATCCCTTTCACTGCACGATTGGCTTTACTGACTTAATGGAACAAGAAATCCGACTCAAGCAACAAAGTGGACAGGAGATAAACCTGGCAGATACAAAAAACACCTTCAACAGCACCAACGACAGGAAGAAAAGAGGATAAATAAAAAATGGAAATAGAACAAGACTCAAAGAACTGAAGGTGTCTATTGCATCTGGCCTAAGAACCAACACCAATGGTGCCATTAAGGCGACACTCACAGAACACACTCATGTACCGCCACCTGAAAACAACCCAAAGCAACTCAACTGGGGACGAAAAGTCTTCCAACAACAGTCTTCAGTCAGAGTTCCTCAGATCTGTTGTAACAAACTCAAAAAGGAGATCCTCCCTTCCTAGTCAGAAACATATGATACATATAATGAGTCTTAAACATATAGACACTTAGAAATTGGCAGCTCCTACAACATCTATTTCACTTTCAGAATTAATAAAATATTTTTTAACTGAACAAAATTAAGTGAAACTGAACTAATTAGAACTCAATTAAGATATGCCCAAGTGAGGAAAAATGAACACAACTGTAATTAATTTGAACTGAAATTAATTCAAATACGCTCCAGGTGGTGAGAACTAATAAAATAATAATAATAGCTGACCTCTTCTCCAAGCTGGAAGGCATGGGGTTCTTTCCAACATGACTGCACCAAAAGACAAATCAAGCCCCAATTAGAGCAGGAGCTGTTTGTCAGGTCTTCCTGTGCAACATTAAGGTCTGACCTCACAAATGTACTTCTAAAAAAAATGGTAAATTTCTATAAAATAACTGCTACGCTTTCTAGAAAGTGTTCCTAAGGATTGAACTGCTACAGCAGACACCAAAGCTGTACCTTTGAGCACTATTGGTTAAGACTGCGATGCTCAGACATGTTGGCAAAAACGTTTGGAAAAAATTGCATTTGTCAAATTGAAGGTGGAAAATAAAATGACTAAGCCCATTTGTATCTTTTCTTAAGACACAAAAACTCTGGCACCCAGGAGCATTGAGTAAACTTTTGTGAGCCGCTGTAATGAAGAACAATTGATCTGCTGAAAACAAATTGTTTTTTGAGCTCCACGAGAGAGTGTTGTTTTCCACTAAAAAAGTTCACATTCCTCAATAACAAATCATGTTTTCACAAATTAAAAACATTCTTATAATATTAATCATCCTGTGATGGATGGATGAATTGATCCTGTAATGGATATCAGGCTGTGAACGGATGGAATAAAAAAACAAAAACAAAAAAGAAACAATTACAAGTCTCTTCCTGTGTACAAACAGACCCCCTGCTGTCCAGGTCTTTTTCTCCCTCTACTTTCCTTTTAAACAACATGTGGAACATCATCTCCTCCTTTTCTGCTGTGACCCAGCTGCCCTTCGCTCAGTAAATACAGCTTGTATTTTCTTTTTCTGTTGTTTTTTTTTTTTCCCCAAAGAACCAGAGAACAGGATGGATGGAGCCCAAAACAATAAGACGAAACAAAAACACAACCGGCTAGCTTGAAACCTGTGAGAGTCGGCAAAATAAATCTCAAATAAACACGCCACAGCTTGGGCTGGCTGTCAAAACACGGAGAGTAGTTTATAAGGGTGTAAGCTGTGGAAAATGAGCGAGAGGCAGAACCAGGTGAGCGTGCCTGCTGATGCAAACAGTAATTTATACGGCAGATCTGATAACCAAAGACCAGACGATGGTCGGCAGAGAAGATCGGCTCAAGCTCAGCAAACAACAACAACAAGATTTAAATAAATAAAAGAAGGGGATTGTCTGGGAGGATTTCAGAGGCCCTGAGGAGCTGAGAGTCTGATCTCTGTGAGCATGCCAAATCGGTTTCATGCTCAGAAGTTAACCCAGGTGTTCGAACCGCAGGAATATGTAACATCTGCCATTTCACACACAGCAGGACGAAGACTGAGCCGTGAGACCTCAACCAGCTTTGGATAAAGTTATTACTGCTGCACATTCCCCTCATCATGCCCTCGATTACGGCAGTGACGTAGCGAAAACAGATTCTGCTGTCTGCTTAAGGATGAGGACAAAAGAATGAGAGAATTCTGACCAATTGGAAATAAGCGTCAAAAATATCACTCCAAACAAGACTATGGTTACATGTAAATCTTCAATATATGTGAAATTGAACACACAAAAAAACCTTCACAGATGCCCTGAGATTCAACGTCCTAAAAATCGACAGTTTGCAAAAACCACAGATTAGATTCTCGCTCCAACCTGCGTCAGTGGAGTTTGTGAAAGTGACCCCAACTGATGACCTACATTTGTCTAAATCAATTAGGCAAAGACTGATAGAAGACAGACAGTCCAACGGATACTCATGTGTCCTGCATCTCTTGTCTCCTAGTGCCAGTTTTTTCTGGTTTCCGATCAGCTTTGTGCACACAGGCTAAAAATCACATCCATCACTTTGTGCACCGGCCAAATTATTAGTCGAGTTATTGAGTAACTATTTTAAAAGGAATCATTTATGGTATAGTTTATACGCTGAGTGGTGAGCATTCATCTCCCCTTTCACTTGCCTGTTAAAGGGATGCTTTCCTTTCTACTGTTTCCTCATGCATGATGATTTTGATGCAAAATTAATGCCATAATAAACTGAACTTGACTCCACTGTTTTATAGCTTTGATCAAATTGGAAAACATGTAATTAAGTTTAAATCAGCCCGATATGTTTGAACAGATTTGAACATATATTTCTGGATATAAACTAGAGTCATTAGTGTTGCGAAGCGCCTCGATGTCTCTTCCTGATTTTTATTTTCCTTAATACTTCAAGAAACCTAAGAGAAGTATTTCTAAATAAGAAGCATTCCAAATTCTAAGTGGGGTTGGTTTGACAAATTCTTGTTCTCGTGTTTTATGGGTTTTCTGCTTCATTTATCTCCCTGTCTAAACGGGAATTATTCAGCTATTTCTCCACTGCATTCGTCTGACGGCTCTGGGTAAAAATTACTTTTCAAATTACAGTTTCTCTGTCCAAGTCGGCTCCGCGTCTCCACGTGTGGCCAATTCAGATTTGATTCTGCTTGATAAAGAATTTCCCTTTGGAAATGACTCGTCTTCCTCTTAAACTGCCCTGACCATTATTGGGATCAGTCAGGAAAAAATAAGCATTTTGCCAAAGTATGCAAACATGTTGATTTATTTATTTATTTTTTCATTTCACCAAGTTATGTCCACCAGCTTCAATGATTTTGTGTGACAGGCTACAAAATTGAAAATGTTATAGGCCTACTAATAACTGAAAAGTGTGGTGTCACATTGAGCCTCTTTTTGTGTAACCACAGGTTGCTAATACACCTCCAACTCTTCGCCACGCTTTTCAATGCACATTCAGACTAGTGTTCACTATATGTTCTTTCTCCAGCTCCCTTCCCAGCAACTCTATCCTATCCTGCTTACACAAGATTGTCAGTGCAAGCGACAAACGTCCTCTGATGCTGCCGTGTTTCACTGCAGGGATGGGGTGTTCAGAGAAATGTCGATGCAGCATTTTGAATGCATTTTTGCACACATTCTGGCCAAAACGTTCAGCTTTGGTCTCATCTGGCCAGAGGTTTCCTGTGTGGCCTGAACGATTTGTGGAACGATCAGGCCTTTTTTTTTTTCACGACTTTGTTTTTCTTCTCTCCACATTTGCAGAATTGAGCAATTAACAATTGCCCTGGTAACAAATTTCCCTGTGATTTATTCTTTATATGACTGATTAAACGGTTCTTCAAGCATCTCGCCAGCTTATCCTGTAGACCAGGATTCTTGTTCCTCATAAGTCTCTGACAAACCTCTGAGGTCCTCACAAAACCCACTGCATTTAGACTGCAATTAAATTACACACAGATGGGCACCAATTATACATTTTCCTTCCACTTCACAATTGTGTGTTACCTTTGGTTGAGCCATCACATAAGGTGCCAATGAAACACCAGCACGTTTGTGGGCGCAGCACGAGACAATGTGGAAAGATTCAAGAAGTGTGGCTACTTTTGCAAGACAATGACGTTGTAGTTGTGGCAAATAAAATGGTTGAAGGGAGTGGACATGACAGTATTAAACATTTTGTGTCTGACAGGTGCAGCTGAGATTGCTACTTGATATCACACAATTTTAAATAAACTGACTAGAAACAGGATTTTGTTCAAAATATGTCCCATCATATTTTTGGTGCATATTTTTCCTGAGCAAACTGATGAACTCCCATTGTACCGATTGACCAGTCTCCTAAAGTAGCAACAGGCTGTCCAACCAGAGAGTTTACAAGCCTGCTAGAAGTGATTTAGGGAAAAGCACGGTTGCATTTGCGTGGCTCGGCCAACTGCTTAATCAGATCCTTTTCACTTATTCGGCGGTGATAAACCGATCCCTGCTGGTTTACAGCCACTCACAGTGCTGGTGCTGTTCCGCAGCGCGGATTCCACTCCGCGCAGAGCCGTGCATGTCTGCTCATTCAGTCCGGCGCTGCGCCTCGACAGCTCCCTCCTCTCCGAGCCATGTCGCTCCGCAGCATCACCGGGCTCTCCACGCAGCCTCCCGGCCCGGGACGAGACGCTTCCATCCTGCAGATGTCTGCCCAGCGCAGACGACAACAGCCCGAGCGCCAAAACGCAGACGATCATGACGGTTTACAAAACAAAACAAACAAATAAACAAACAGAAAAAAAAAACTGGCACCGCACAGCCCGGGACACCGCGAGCAAACTCCGCTGTCCCACCACTTGGCTTCTTCACATGTTTTCCCCCCGCCCCTCATCTCCCAGAGCATTCTTAATAACGGCCCATTCACCGCCGCGCGGGATTGGTTAGGCCCAGAAAAGCCTGCGATCTCATTGGACGACAGCTCGACAAGAGGGGAGATTTGTTTTTTGGCGTTACACCGCCCCCTGATGGAAAGCCCGCAAATAACCTTCATTAAAGGATTTGTTCTGTGAATCTGTTGGCGTTCCGAGAAACAAGAAAGGGCCAGAAGAAATGGAATCACAACATGAATGCTTTTACTACCAAACTGGAAAATAAGTTTATGAATCATTGGAGCCTACTTTCATGGAAATGAAAACAATAATCTTGTTTTTTTTTTTTTTCTTTAGGTAGACTAAGATGTTTAAAAAATAAGCCGACAATTTCAGCACATTTTATTATAATTTGATGTGTGAAGCACATAAGAAAATGTTCTCTGCAAAGTAACAAAGGATATTTCAATACGTTCATTTGTTCCAATTTGAATTAAGCTGACTTTATCTGGCAGCAATCCACAATAAACACCCTCTCCTTGCACCGAGACGTCTTGGAGTGCAGAAATGACATTTATGTCAATTAATATCCACAAATATGAGATCAAACCAATCTAATAGGGACAAAATGATCATTTTCTATCTCTATTAAAAAGCTAAAATTTTTTGTTTCAACCTTTGGTACCATAACTACACACACCCAAATATATTTTAAATATGTGACAGTTGTTGAGAAATAAGTTTTTTCTTTTAAGAGAAAGACAAGTTTGAGAAAGTTTATAAATAGTCATGAGATACTAGACTGAAATAAATAACATGTGGTCAAATAGTTGGTATTGATCTGGACACTTTGGGTCTGTTAATAGGACAGCCTGGGGGAAGAAAGCATCTCTGTGACGTTTCATTTGACTTTCCCCACCCCTGTGGTAGGAACATTGTCACTCTTAAACATGACAGAGATAAAGTCGCCATTGGAAATGTTGTCATTTGACAGGAATCCTAAACAAGCCCTTGTCTAGTTTTAATTTTATCTGGACAGATCAGTTTGAAGCTACTGCCAACTTGCAGAATTAGCATGAAGTTTGGGCAAAAGTAGAACTGTAACTCTTTTGGCAATAGATCGCTGATTTGGACCTTAGGAAGAGTAGCCCTTTGTCACACCAATTGCTAATGGGGATCCGAATAAATGTGTGTCTGAGCTCTGACTTTATTACAACAGTGTGTTATCTATTAATGACTGCGTCATATTCAATCAAATTAAATGTTAAACAACAACAAAAAGAGTCAGTCACTTTCTGAATACAACAGTTTTTATTATAGTATTGATCCGTAACAAAAGATATCCGTCCCGACCCCACGTTTATCCCTCCCCTCATTCAGCTGTTAAGTGCTGGTCACACTCCTGGAAAGAGGTGATCACACACTGTTTACACAAGAGGCAATTTAGCACATTACAAATAGAAACCTCCTAAAAGCAACTCTGAATGCTGCAGGTGGTTGGAAAGTTGTGGTTACGTAGAGACACCAATGTCTCCCCTTCTTTTCAGCCCAGAACTCCCACCAAGAGTTCTCTACTCTAGATGTCTTTGATTACGTCCTCCAGCTCCTCTTTGGTGTACATGTGAAAGGTCTTACCGGGCTCTACTGTGGCCAGCTGGAAGATAGAGAGAGGGAAAAAAATGGGCTCGCACAATCCGCCATCACAGCACCATAACTGAGCTTTGATACAGGAACAAACCTCGATATTGGTGGCGTTGAGCTTCTCCTCCATCACCTGCTTCAGGATGGTCAGAGAGGACTTGATGGCGTCTTTTAATGTCATGGACTGCAGAAGAAGAAAGTTTCACTGGTCAGCAAATAAAGCTTGCATACAGCTGTACTTCGCCACTGAAGATTTAAATATTCTGTGTCAAAATACAGAAGATTAAATAATCATAAGACAAAAAATCAACCTTTCAGTTAACAATGTCTTTCTCCCAGCCGCTCTTCCATAAAGGCTACAGATTCAACCAGCTGAATTATGGATTTCTACCGCTCCGCCATAATTATCTTAGGCTGCTTCTCTGCTTCTTTAGATTAGATAAATATTTCATCTATATAAATGGATGACCTCGTTTTCATAGGTTGTGTTGGTATGCTGTCCTCTGGAACCGTTGTTCTGAGATGAAGGACTTTGAAACAAGATATCAAATCACAGTTGTCGCCATCATATTAGTGTGTGTGTTACTGTTATAGCAAAGAACGGCTTTAACACAACATTTGATAGGACACTATGTTTCAAGTAGGTATTCACGCTCTGTCTATTGTTATCATATCAGGCTAGTGGGAAGGCGCCTAAGAGCAAAATGAAGACTAATGACAATGTATGTAATCATCGCCATTTTTTAAACAGTGGTATGGAAAGTAGATGTTTCCTGATTTTGTACAGCCCTAATTTACATTTACACAAAGATGGACAGTACTTTGTTAGATGACCAGAGGGTAGGGATCCAAATAAGATTTTATTTAGGGGCCACATGGTAATAAAGATGTTTCCTTTAAGCAAATGCAAACCATAGTTTTTATATGTTTGGAGCATTCTGAAGGCCACCTGTGATGTTATTTCTGCCACAAAGTTATGTTCTACTTTGTGTTGGCCTGTCACATAAAATCACAATAAAGCTGTGAAAGTTTGTGCTTGAGACTGGACAAAATGAAGAAAAGTTCAGTGGAAATGTTTCATTACCACCACATGCAACATATTGGAACTTTTATCATTTCGACGGATGAACACGCTCACATGAGAATGCAAGAGGACTTAAAGAACAGCAGGATGGAAAACTTTCCCAGTACCTTGTGGTAAACCTCTTGCAGAGAGCTTTGTGCTCCCTCTGATGCAGAACCGATAGCCCGGGCGTCACACTGCACAAAGGTTCCTGAAGGGTCCATGTGGTACCTGCATTTCAAGGGAGAGAGAAAGAGCAATGAAATGCAGTTATATAAAGAACCTCACGTTAAAATGACCAAAGGCTGCAAAATCATCAGCACTTACAGCTGGGGTCCTTTTTCATCCACTCCCCCGAACAATAATGCAACACCAAAGGGTCGGCTCTGAACAAAACACGAAGGAAAAACACAATTTAAATACAACTTCTACTGTTTTACTCATCTGCACCCAATAAAGAAAATCTGGAGATGGTTAAGGTGGCTGACCATGGCCCCAGGGTCGGCGTCCTCCTCTCCGAACTGCAGCGCCAGGTTGGACACGGCTTGAGTCACGCTTTCCACCGTCATCGTCTCATTGTAGGTGAACCAGTGGTTCTGCAATTGACATAAACAAGCTAACAGCATCTAAACCCCACATTGAGGCTCCTGCTGAACTTACACCGGAGCTCGAAATGCATACCTGTGTTTCCACTCTTGCTTTGTCAATCAGAGTTTTAGCATCAGCTATTAGGCCACTCATGGCACAACCTGGAGTGCAAAACGAGGGAAATTGGAGGATGAATATTCTTGCTTACTTTCACCACTGCAACAGAAAACCTTATCAAACTTATACAGTACTAATTGGTGGAATATTAAAAAGCAAGACTTACAAGATGTTGAATTAAAATGGCACTCTAATTCAATGTAAAGACATTAAAATGTATTGCAGCTGCCCGAGTATTTTCTCTCATCCTCTGACTTCCTTAGCTTCCTTTAATACACGACATTGACTTCAATGTGCTTGTCCATAATCGCACACCTCCACATCTTCATAATGTTCTGCACATTAATACACCTTGATATCCTCCTCCTCCACTTGTGTTATTGTACAATCGGCTTGCCTAACTACTCTTCAAATAGACACTCTCTGCATACTGTGGTTTGATATTTTGTTGCAGAATATTTTCAGGGATCCTGAAAACTTGAATGTATTTTTAAAAATGATTTAGAATTTAACATCCAACATAATCCAAGCAAACATAACCAAGGAGTTAAATCACTAAACTATATATTTGTATTTATACCAATGTGACTGTCGATCTCCACAATCTTCTCAATGCTGTTGGGCTCCATGAGTGGAGAGGTGATCCTCTTCTCCACAGCAAGACACACTCCCTCTGATGTCTGAATACCGATGGCGGTGGAGCCAAGCTGAGAGAACAAAATCGGCAATGAGCTTGACTTTAAATAACTGATGTCCAGTCAAAAGACCCACATCATGTACTCACTTTTATTGCCTCTATGGCATATTCAACCTGAAACAATCTTCCTTCTGGTGAGAATGTGTTTACACCTCTGAAAGAAAGATCCATTTAATAATTGTTAACAATTTATGCTTTTATAATAATTCTCATAAACCATGTGTTTAACTATAATGGTGTTTTTGTCGAAACAACTGTTAATCCATAACATCATAATTATGCATCTACAGTCAAATTTAAAAGAAAAATCAAAAATTAAATAACGAAAGTGAAAGTAACTTTTTTTCCTCCTATAACAGGATAGTTAGCTGGTAGCTAACTACCAAAATAGCAAAGCTCAACATGAAACGAGGAAATAAATTCCTTTTGGATGTTTTTTTTAAATCATGCTGCCTACCCATATGTGTACATCAAACAGCAAAACTTAGCACCACAGCCCTTTTATTTGTTTTTAGCTTACAACTGAGACGCTCTCAATAAATGACAAAGCACTTTGTGCAGCACTTACCTGTCATACTCCGATCTGGTCAAAAACATCCTTTATCTTTAAACGTTCAGCCTGCGAACACATATTAGGCATTTATTAAGCACACTTGACCCACAAAGGCAATTAAACGTCCGTGAAAACGACCTCGTTAAGCTTGTGGTTTTGAATTCGCTCGAGAAAGCGGCTGACAAGTTAGCAGTGAGCGAGCGTGTTAGCTACCGAGCGCAGGCATCGAAGGGAACTAAAGCCTATCATTCATCAAATATGCCAAACATTAAAAACAACTCAGTTTAATTGTGTTCAGATGAGTACTTCTGCGGCAGCCGGTGAATCTCGCTGCAATATCTAAACCTTTGAGGCCCGTTTACCTTCAAACAGAAAGCCTGAATGAGTTCGCTTGTTTCGGGGGAAGCTTCGTGGTGCAACGTTAATTCTGTCCCGGACGTCAGCAAGTGCAAACTAAAGTTCCGGGTGATCACTTACACTTTTCACTGATTTAAAATGACTAAACTGTTTACACATTGAGACAGCCTTCAGGTTATGCAAAATTTAATGTCGGCTGTAGTCTGACACGCATCGGTGCTAATTTTGAAACAATGAATTAGAAATTAATCATTTAAAATTTGTTACACATTTCATTGTACTCAGTAGAATTCCATGAGAATAGAATAGAATTATTTGCCATTCATGGTAGAGATTGTGTTCTGCAGAAAAGGGGCTAGAAAAAAAATACTCTACAAGTATATCAACGGGGAAAAGTGTACAGCTTGAAAAGAAAATTAATTTATTTCAGAACATGTACATTTGTCAGAATAAAATGCATCTGTGCAAACTGTGTTTTTATTTTTATTTTTTTTTAAATAGGGTTAAACTGTCACATCGTGACACGGCACCAACACCACTTAAATGAATCAAAAAACAAAGGAGCTGAATCAAAGGTCAAATTAGTCACACTCTGCTGTGTCGTTGCAAAGCTCAGGCGCCAGGGGTCTCTGTTGAGCTAAATGATGGTTTAATCAAGGTTTGGTACGTTTTTAATTATAGCGTGTTTTGTGGCGAACCTGGTTATATAAATGTTGTTTACTATCGGTCCTATGCGTCCCAGTGCATATAAAATGGCCAAATAAAGTTATTTTAATAAACGCTAAGTCCATAAAACAATACAAAAACATTTTTTCAATGATTTTTACTTTCATTTTTTTTTTTTACTATTCTTATTTAGCCGGCTAACTTTTCATCCACTGTATATTTTTGGGCATCATTATAGAATCAATTTATTGTTATCTTCGTTAAAAACAACAAGACAGTATGTAAGCAAGCTAAATAACAGGTTGCGGTTGCGGCGAATCTGTCGAGATGTTGCAAATTAATAAAGTGATTGAAGGAGGGATTTCGGGACAGTGTCGGGTTACATTTACCGACTCGGAGCAGTTCCGCTCTCTGCGCCGTTTGCAACTCAGACAAATGCTGTTGCTGCCCAAACCGAAACAGGACCTGTTTCCCAAACTCTCATCAAACGGGTAATTCCCTGGCTTCAAAGTGTGCGCTGAGGAGGAGCATGGTCATGAGGGATGCTGTCGTTCTCCAGGCTCTTCTTCTCATCCACAGTGAGTAGGCTGAAGTTCGGCGTTGTTGTACTTGTGCTGCGAGAGCTTGTACAAAAGCAGCCATCTTTTGCTCGATTAATCAACCAAATCCCTCGAAGGATTTCTCCGGGAAACTTGTCTCCGCGTTCTGGCTGTTATAAAGACATGTCATTATTTTTTTATGACATGCAAAACATATGTCACAGATTTTTTTTTTTAAAGTGCCTTAAAACTCATCGGTGCATGATGGGAAAAAATGGGTTAATAATTTACTCTCCTACCCAGTTTTAATATAAAGTACAAATTTTCATGAACGCGATTATTTATTTTTTTAATAAAAAAAAATTGTTTCCAGCAGCTCTTTTGTCTTTGCCAGACAGCTCCGAATCAGATTGGAGGGAGATTACTTTGAAAGTATTGCCACAGATTCTCAGCTGAATCGAGGTCTGTACTTTGACTGAACCATTCTAACAGATGAATATCCATTGCTGTGGATTATCTCCCGGGACAGTCTCACCTATATTTTAGTTCCATCCATCTTACCGTCAACAAAAAGCAAGTTCCCCTTTCTAGCTGAAGGAAAGAATCCCTAAAAGCATGTTTCTGCCATCGCCACCTTTTTTAAGTTTGGTGGGTGTTTGATATGGAGTTTTTCTTGTCTTCCAAACATTCAGGCAATTGCCTCATCAAGTATTTTGGTCGACATCTTCACTATGACATATTGCTTGTAGCCCGTCCCTTCCACTTCTCCATAAGTGTTTTTATGAAATACATACATAACTAGTAATTGTCTTATCAGATTTTCCCACCTGAGCTGTCAATCTTTGCTGCATCTCCAATATAACCATGGAGCTTTTGCCTGCTTCTTCTACTAAAGATCTCCTTGCTTGGCCTGTCAACGTAGGTTAAAGGTCATGTCTTGCTGGCTTTGCAGTTGTTGAAATAGAATTTTAAAGTAGCACAATAGTACACAAGTTAACGTTTACGTTAAGATAAACTTAGATACAAATCCAAACTAAGACAACTGGTGACTCTCTGAACTTACATAAATTTCTAATCAGAAAGCAGTCTTATACTCCCTGAGGAGCATGTCAGACAGGGAGTATATTGGCTATCAGGCAATAAATTCTTTACTCAGGGTTGAATAGTTCAGGCAAACATTAAAAACTATAGAAGTCCGTTACAACATATAATCAAACATATTGGTATATTTCTTTAAGCATTAAAAAGCATGTTTTTAATTAGTTAGTTTTAGATCCAACTTATAGTTAGTATTAAGCAATATATTTTGTGCGAGTTTGTTTAAAAAAACACCAACTGGTTTCTTGTTGAATCATTTTGAGGCAGAGATAACGTTCCAGATCCACGCTGTATATCAGGTCGCCTAAAGGAGCCTGGTACGAGAAGAGCTGGGTGTTTCAGTGGGTCTCAGATTTAAGACAGCCCACACAAAGGAAAACACACCTCCTAATGCATATATTTAAATGAGGAGAATACACATTCTTATAAAATGGTTTGTTTTACAGCAGAAGTTCGAATCTCTTTGTGCTGAGTGAGAGTTTCCCAAAAGATGCATCTTTTGTTTGTTTTTGTTTCCCTTTTTACTCAGTTAATTGTTTCTGTTTTGTCATGTCTTGGACTTTTGATGATTTAGGTGAGATGCTCATTGTAACATTCTTCTTGCATTGATTTTCTCTGGATAAAACTCTGGATATCTGAAGTCTGACGTCGTATGATTGCTTTTTCTCCCTGCTTATATATACAGACACATGAATTCGGGACAAAGAGGAATGAATTAAAGAGCTAAATCAAGTTATTCCTCTTTTTAATTCTCAACACAGTCATGCCGTCATCATCTGGGTCAAACAGTTCTCTGTTAGGTAATTAAAACTTCGGAACCGGGGTGTCAAAAGTGTAACTATTTTTGGTCCTCAGAACAATTTTGTGGCCATTGATCAAAATTCAATAATGACATAAATTTGGTTTGTCAATTCAAGCAGTTGCTGACACATGTAAAAAACATGTTAGGATGACAGATGTTAGTAAGGCTCATTCAAAGTTTGCATTCTGAAATCAACAAAACATAACTTATTTCTGTTTGCTCATGTCTACTTAAGAGATGAACATATTTATTTCTCTCCATTTTTTGTTGTTGTTTCAGTCTCTGTGGCGTGCTTCTTCACAGCAGGTATGCAACTTTTTGTGTGTGTGCAGCCGTGATTTACATCTCTGCTTTTCCTCCTCTGGGGAAGCGCTGAAGACCTTCTGCTCTCTCTTCCAGTGTCCTGTCAGTCTGACAGCAGCAGCAGTGTGGTGGTGGCCGGCTACGATGTCAGCGGCCCCGCTGGGTCCAACCTGGTACTGCAGTGCATGAGCGGTCGCATGGTGTGGACCAGGGACAGGGTGAGGGACAGGCAGAGGGTGGTCCACTGGGATATGTATCGGGATGCCCCGGATTACGCCATGGAGAGAGTGGTGGACATGTTCTCGGCTGGAGACCAGAGGCTGTACCACACCCACAATCTGGGAAGGGTCAGCCTCAACCCAACAGCCTTCAAGGATGGAAACTTCTCGCTGGTCATCAAAGGTCAATGGTTTGACTCCATTTTTTCCTACACCTTTACTGTTTTTTTTCTTTCATATTGTAAAGTTCAAAGACAGTTTTTTCAGAATCAGGATGAAAATCAAAAAACTAAAGAGAAGACCTCATCATCATTCTACAGCTCCTCATATATTGTTTGACAAGTTATAAGCTAAATTTGGAAGTCATACTACTCCTAAAATTGTATTTTACGTCTGTCAAACTGTTCTACTTTTGAGGTCAAACTCAACAAATGGGAACAAAACTGTACTTATGATATGTGTATTGACTATTTGTCCCAAACTTAATTCCAAAAATCGCAAAAATTCAAATCTCAAAAAACGACCAGAGAAAAATAAAATAAACTCAAACAGCCAATACTGTGCATCGTGGGTTTTGGTTTACACAGTCCAAACAAAAGGTCAAACAGTCAAAATGCAATTCTTTGTTTGCTTTATTCAGCCTTTAACCAAGAACAAGTTACAGGCTTTGGACAACCTGCCCTAACTCCTGCATCTTTTCTGATTGATAAAACTTGACTGATGACGAACTGATGACAGACAAAACGACCGGTAAAAAACCATATGACCACCCACGTGACCAAGACTCATCTAAACGCTACATATTTATACTGTGAAACACACCCACTTCCCAAACTGAAATCAATTAACTAATTAAGTGAATTACTAACCAAAAACTTATTTAGAAAACAAAATAAACATTCTAATTATAAATCAACTAGAAAACAAACAAATTGAATAATCCACATTCTAAACTTTAACTAAAAATAATGGAGAAATAGCTCCTACAATATGTCACAAAAAAAGCACACAAAAAAATCCATTTTAAATTGCTTCTTTGAGCTGATGTCTGTTATGTGCCGACACAACTCTGTTACTCCGTTGAGTTTAGGAACCCTTACATGCCCAAGTAGGTCATTAACTCATGTTATATTTATTGTAATAAAATTTGTCTGACGTTCTCAAACATTTAAAAATGATTTTAAAAGGCAACAAATCATTTCCTGCTTCTCAGTGTGATGGTCATCTCACCGTATCTGTACCTTGTTGGCAGATGTGAAGATGAACGACAGAGGCCTGTACTCCTGCAACCTCCACCATATCTACTGCCACCTGCACGAAACAGTCAGAGTTCAACTCAATGTGACCAAATCAAGTATGGATCTCTGTCAGACTGACTCACGGTTCACAGCAGTGCTACGGCTCAAGAGTCCTCTTTGATGTCTTGTCTTTTCACCCCCCAAGAACGCAAGCAGGACCGCTTCTGGGACGGACAGAAAGCGGTGTACGTGGTGCTGCAGGGGACCACTGCCGTGTTGCCCTGCATAAACAGGCGCGGCGTCTGGACAGACTGGAGCGACGAGGAGGAGGACCAGCAGGCGAGTGGACAAACAAGGCTCACATAGATCTGCTTCTGTTGTTGTGCTACTGCATTCCATTGACAGCAGGTTGCGTAACGTGTCCAGGTTGTCCACTGGGACCGCCAGTCCCCGGGAGTCCAGCATGACAGAGCCGATCGGCTGGTGGACCTGTACGCCTCTGGAGAGCAGCGCAGCTACGGGCCTCTGTTCCTGCAGAGGAAGATGAACATCAGCAACAAGGCCTTCTCAGAGGGTGACTTCTCGCTAACAATAACAGACCTGCAGGTGAGCATGCGCGTGTCGAGGTGAGAGAAACAAATCGTATGTATGTTCTTGATTAGAACAATCACAAGCTAAAATATTGAGCCTGTGTGCAGCCATGCGTTTGCTTGGAAGCGTTTTGCAAAAGTGAGCATACGTGAGTCTGATTTCCAAAACACATGGAAATCTCATCAGCAATGTAGCTCTTGCCGAGTCAAAATTTATAGAGAAGCTGGGAGCTTGCAACCACAACATGTTGAGCTCTCAGGTGAATAAAGTCATGGAGCAGCAGTTGCTACAAGAACAACTACAGTAAGGTTTCTGGTTGCAGTGTGGGAAATCTTTATATCTCCTGGTGATGAAGTACAGTGATCAATTATAGAATCAGCTATAACTGGTTAGTTTGCACCTCTCCATCAAGAATAAACAAAGTGTAAGTAATGTGGTAACATAATTTAGTTCTGTTCAATTCATTAAAGTCTAAGCAATTTGAGACAAATGTCATCTCAGCGAACCTCAGAAGACGAACCTGTTAAATTTGTAATAAATTACAATCAGTTCACCCCAAATGAAATTCAGATCTGTGCCAATCATAGCAAAAGTCATTTCAGCATAATGTGATCACTTTGTCAGATTCACATCCAGTTATGTAAACTCCACTTCAATCCAGATGATCATTTAATGCCAATTTTTAATATTGTAAATATTGAAAATTGTATAAATGTAGTTAGTAGCAACAATAGCTCCACCAATGACTGTCCTGAATGGAGACAAAGTTAAAAATAAAGGTGTTGAAGCAGGGATACTTTCTATGAATGGAAAAACCAAGATAATACATAGTTAATGAGAGAAATAGCTTCCATTAACTATGACCATTTGGTTATGGAGGTGATGAGAATTGGCCTAACCCAGAGCATCATGGTATAGGACGAGACCAAGGGAAGCCACAGCAACTTCAGCTTTGAGTTTTATCAAAATGAAAAGTTTTCAGCTTATCCCTCAATCTAGACAGGGTGTCTGCCTCAGATATCTGAGGTCAGTTGATCTCTGTGCCTGTTTTACGTTTGCAGTTTATTTTGCCTGTGTGTGTTGTGATAGTTCACAGATCAGGGGACATATTCCTGTCACCTTCACCATCATTACTGCGGCCTACACGAACGGAGAGAGTTTCGAGTCACGGTCGAGGCCCCTCTGATTTGGAGCACACAGCCGGTCATAGCGCTTCCCCGAGACAAAGGTAACAAATCTATCTTCTGTCTCTAGATTTTATAGGTCGGTCCCCTAAGCAGAGCAGATGTTTTAGTACTTAACCCAAAGGAGGCATTATGTGCGCGTACATCTGCTCTTTCCTTCACTCTCAATTCTCTATCTCCTCTCGGACTTCCCAAACAACAAAGCAGCAGAGGAAGAACTCAACTTTTTTTCTGCGGTTTTGTGTTTCTAGAGAGAAATATTTCTTCCTCTCTTTTTTTCTTTTTGGCCTGACATTAAACTCCTGAAGCTGTATTCACTCGTGTTGTTCCACATCCGAACATTGCCTCGTAACTCACAAAGCTTCCTTTTCACGGTGGATGCTTCGCACACTTGTCTTCATAAGTTTCTGCATGGACTTTTATGGATGTGCATCTCAACAGCTTTCCTTCAATGCATTTCTTTCACAATGAGAATGTTTCGGTGTCAAAAAGAGCCGCCTGTTTTTCCAGGTCAAAGCTTTCAGTGTCAGACGTATCAAAGAGGAAAAAAAATCTTACCCAGCTGCCTCCGTGTGCGTGTATAAGCCAGCTCCTGTCAGAGCATGCCAAGATGGCCGATCTCATTTCAATGGAATCTTCTGACTAATGTCCAGCTACATCCGCAAAAATAATCCACCTCTCTTTCCGAGCTGTGATTGAACATCAGGATTGCTTCTCTGGAATTACATATTTTGTCCCAATGATTTATCTCCAGTAGTGAGTTTGTCTTCTTCAGCGCTCTGTCACAAAGTTATGGGATTTAATCTGCTTGGCTGTAGTTTCTCTGCTGCTGTGTATACTTTGGCTCACCCTTTGCATTCTGCAAAAAAAGTTTCCCTCTTCCTTTTTTCCACTTTTATCTTCCCATTCCTTTGATGACCCAGTGTGCTGACTTTTGCAGTTTAAACTTGGAAGATCAGATCAGGTGTCCGTCTGATCCTCCCATCTGCACTTCCTCCTTGTATGTTTTAGACATGACTACCCTGCTCATGTCCTGGAGTTTGTAAAAACATTGAGAAACTCACAAGGAAGGTCAGATGACTTGCGTTAGTTTTAAGTACAGTACATTACAGACAATCTGGGTTTGGGGATGTTGGGGCCAGGTCGTCTCTCTGAAGAAATGTCTCACCCTCTCCTCCCACTCGTTCCACCCCCTGCTCTCTCGTTTATTCTCCCCTCTTCTTTTATGTTTTGCTGCCAGGAAAAGTAAATCACAGCGTCACACCAGTCTGGATCTGATTTTGACTCAAGTATGTCTAGTCTGAGGTCCACAGCTGCTTCTTGATTTGCACTTTTTTTTTTTAAAGTTAAGTGAAACCAGGCTCTTTCTTTAGCCTCTGCTTCCCAACGCCCAGCAGAACCTCATGCCACGCAGTGATGTTGGCTGAGGAAACTCTCTTCACATCCTTTTTGTGTTCAGCCTTATATGCAGATTGGAGAAAAAAAATGTAATCTGTGTTTGGAAGAGCAGTGCAGAAATACTTCTTGCCTTTTGAGTTTTTAACATTTTGTCACATTATATCTGCAAACTTTAATGCATTCTATTAGTATTTTACTTTGTGACAGATCACAGCAAAACAGTGCAATATTTTGAACTTAAGTGGTTTTCAGTTCACATTTTACAAATGCATTTATTTTCCAGCCTTTTCACTCTTAAACAATAATTAAAATCCAGATCAATCAGAAGTCACCTAATTAGCAATTACTAATAGTCTAATAGTGGTCCTTTTTGTGATTGAATTTGGTTCCAAGTCCTACTGCACTTTCTATCATTTTTCTTCCATTTCCCAAGTATGCACTATTTTTATTTATTTGTTTTTTTGGTCTGTCAGATAAAATATATTAGTTCGTAATTGTAACATGTCAATATTACAGAAATAGGAATACTTTTGCAAGGCATTATGGAAATTCAAAATGAAAAAGTATGTGTGCTAACTTGAAATTGACAGTTATTTTCCTTCTGCAGAAGAAAACAAAGGAGAAAAAAATATCAATGAGTCTTTATCTGAGCTTCATCTGCAAAGAACGTTGCTAGATTGTTAAATGTGAGTAAAACCAGCTGACACTTTCACTTGGTGTAACACTCAGACACCAGTAAAGTTGACGCACCGCGAGTCATCAATGTCATCCTGCCCGACCAGAAGCACCATTTTCTCCTGCCGCTCGGCTACGTCCTCGCCTCCTTCCTGCTTCTGGCATTCATTACGCTCATTGTCGTCCTCGTCACCAAACGACGTAAAGCCAAAGGTCTGATGTAACGTCTGTCAAATTGATTCTTTTTCATTCACTTAAAACTTCATGTTCTTTTAAAATGTTTTTTTTTTTTATTATTATTATTTTAGATTTTTCTCCTAAAGTATCTGTTAGGTAAGTGCTTAATAAGACATTTCTGAGAAATGGAAGAAGGAAAATCTGAAAAGTGTGGCATGCATTTGTATTCAGACTCCTAAGACACCTGCATCAAACTCCGTCCTGCGTCTAATCCAGCCACATATATAGAACGTCAAGATAAAAATCGTTAAAGTATTATATATCAGGCTTTTTTGTATCATATCAGTGTGAAAAGTAGTGCTTCATTTTAAGAAGTACTCATCAAACACAGAGAAAGGTGTAGTATTTTAACAGTTTGTTAATGGTAGATTTGAAAAACAAATTCTTGTGTTTTGAGGATATCCATGATCTGAGGTCGAGATTTAAGTCTGTTTGAGCTAGCTAGTATTCTGCGTTGTGAGCTCAGGCTTCATCCATGTTTTCATCAAATCTGACCAGCTCCTGTCTGCTGTCCCTGCTGAGACCCCCACCATGTCTCTCAGGTCCGATGGTGTTTTTAGCATGACTTACAGCGAGGCTTCCCCAAAACAGCTCCGCTTATACTGAGTGAACGGCACACACAGGTGGCCTCTGCTCTCATTTCACTACATTGTATTTCTAAGTTTCAGAGTTAAGTGATGTAAATACAAATGCCTACACTTTTCAGATTTGTATTTGTAAAAAAAAAACAAGACATGCTTCTTTCCATTTTGCAATTATGGATGACCGTGTTAAAGTAAAATCCCAGTAATGAAATGTTACATTTGCTACCTCTGTCTTTGACTCAGTCTGATGTTTCTTCACGGTGACAGGTCCAGCAGGAGTCCCAGCAGCTCAGATGAGTACGAGGTAGACATTGGTGAGATGAACATGTGCACTCAAGAGGAGAAAGGATTTGGTAAGCTTATGGCGTCTCGTTCTTTGGTATTCTTCGGAGCATTGGGTGGAGAAGTGAGGGACTTTTTTTTTATGAGCACAACCTTCATAGTTTGTTGTTAAAAACTACAACTGTGAAGGTGGACCTATGGAGTGTATTAGAAACAGTCCTTTCACAGGGCATAAACCTAATCATTTCCTTTATTTAGAATACAAGAACAACCTGCTAAAAGAAAACGCCCTGATGAAGGCGCAGCCAAAAGTCATTGATCTTGACAAAGGTATGCCAACATTCCTCCAAGTGAATCCCTCTTTCTTTCCCCCTAACTCTGGTTTTGTTTTGCTTCCTGCAGAGATCCGGAAGTTTTCCAAGTGAGAAAGTGAGACAGAAGCGAAATCTGAGTCACTGGCGGGTCCAGAGGCTACATTTTCTCTAGACAAAAACACAACCAAATTACCTTCTGTTGTAGCCAGAGGAAGCCAGGGTGGATTTGTTTGGATTGGGTTTTGCCATTATTAGAAATAAAACTTTGCTACAGACCTGTCGTGTTTCGGCACAAAAAGACTTTTTTTTTTAGAATTATGGCTAGTTTTGGTGAAGACATGGTGCAAATCAAGCCCTAAATGCTAAGCAAAGAAAGCATGTAGAAACGCAGAACGGTAAACAGGACTTGTTTCAAGCTGCTTCTGTTCTTAAACTTTTGCTTCGTTCTTTGTGTCACAAATGTATGCTGCACAATTTTCATCAACTTCTCAAAAATAAGACCAGTTTTAAGCTTTTCCCCACTGCTTTGTCACTAATTCTTTAAATATCTAGCATAAATGACTCCATTTATCCACAACTATGAATTGAAAGTGGACAAGAGAAGCCAATGAACAGAGGCTTCTTCTTCTTCTAAAAGCAGACTCTTCTGTTTGTCTGATTGTTAAATGTTTATTCTCGTCTTGCATTATGGCATCTGTTACGGTTGTAGGACAGTATTTCAGTGCTGTGCTTTAAGCATTCTATGTTAATTCATTTTAGATGTCACAAAGGCATGCTTAAATTTGACTTTGTACAGTTTTAGTTCACAGCTTTCTCTGGTCATGAACTCCCCCTAGTGGGGCAGCAAGAGTACTAACATCCATTCCAGTGAGACACCAAATGCTATTCTATTCTCTTTTCTTTTTTCTTTGCTAAAAGGATGTAACTCAGCTTTTTCTTTGTTCAGTTTAGTGCTGTCTGTAATGAATGTCATTTGTGCTGCTGCACTTTAATGCTCATACATTCAAGGAATAAAAAAATGAGGAATTTTACATTCAGTACTTTATTTCTTTTTCTTTGAAGGTAAGGTCTATACACAATGTAATGTCTGAAAAATCATTGTGTGCATTGGTCTCTCTCTGCAATTCAAAGGCTACACACATAAAATTTCTTGACAAAGTGTGCATTTCGTATAGCGTTGAAAAGATATAACGCTATAAAGTATATACATACACTACTTTGTGTATGTTGTGACAAAGTAGCGCATCAGTGGGTTGTAGAAAAAAAAAAAATAATGCTTGAGTGGTTGTCCTTTTTTTTTTCCCAAATGAAAAAATCTGAAAAGTTGTTTTTGTGTGACTTTCACTCCAATTACACTAAATGAATTGTGCCTTCAGAAACCACCTGAATGAAAGTGCAATTTAATATCAGTATATATATGTTTTTAGGCCCTTTGAGGATTTTTTGAGTTTCTCAGAGTTTCTTTTGTTGTTATTGTTTTTTTTTTTTGTTGAGAATATTAGTGAATAAACAACATCATGAAGGCTGAAGAATATAGCCAATAGGACAGGGGAAAAATTAAGTGATGTTTAAATCAGATTGCAAAGCAACTCAACATAATTATTAGTTAAGCAAAACATATATCTGGCATTAACGCAAAGTAGGCAATAACAAAAGCTGGTGTTTAAAGTAAACTGCACAAAGCCTCATTTGCAGTTCACAGCGAGTCCAAACCTTTGGCCAGAATGCAAGCATGAAACATGGTGATGGTAGCATCATGCTGAGGAAGTCCTTCTTTTCAGCAGGGGAATGGCTGCTCAGAATTAATGGGAGTACGTAGCAAAATAGAGGGAAATCCTGGAGAAACCCTGAAAGAGGTCTCAAAAGCCTTCAAACTGAGACGATGTTTCACCTTTAAGCTGCAGCTGCTTGTGACGGAATGGTCCAGTCAAAGTAACGCTCAAGTCATGTTTCAAATACAATGGAATACAAGGGCATGCCAAACTTTTAGGATTTTTATTTGTTGAAGCACAAATAAGCTTTGTAATGACTTTGCGTATAAAATACAATGCAGTACTGAAAAAATGTATACACAGGGATGATTGACAGCGGTAAGACTCTCCTTGCTCCGATTTGTTGCTTGTGAATGCTGTGCATTTCTGTGTAGGGCTGGAAAATCACAGGGGAGGAAGCAGGGAAACTCAATTTTTTCACAAATTTCGAGTCTCATATTACACTGTCATGACACAGTCCACTGGTAGTTTTAAGGAATATGTAAAAAAAAACTAATTTAAGTTGCCCACAGCAGCCTAACTGATCAGTCACATAGTTATGACACCATCTTGATATGAACGTTTTGAAAAGCAAAACTGCCATGCCACATATAGGCAACCAGCTTCTCCATATTATACATCTGGACACACACACACACACACACAGAGAAAAAGAAAATATAAAATCTGTACTACATGCGGAGCATTAAAAGAAGCCACGCCCAGATGAATCTTAGTTCATAGATCATTTATTCATTCTTTTGTGTCACAAACAATCCCTGAATTCAAGACAAATGGCTTATTATACACTTTGTATTATGTATTTGTGTACATTTTCTATCAAATACACAGTACTGGCATGTACTTTTGATCCAAAAATGAAACAAACCCTTCTCTGTCTTATGATGTCGGACAAGTGTTTCAAAGGAAGTAGACAGTCAACGCATTCGCACCCACTAACCTCATTTTATTAAAGGAACTGTCTCAGAATCGGTCAGTTTCCTCTCCGTTTCTGCCTCACACACACGTGTTTCTGTTTAAAATACAGAAACACGGTCTGACCGGAAAACCTCTTTAGTTGGTAAAAGTGAGACGAGTGGAAAACCTGGTGCTGCGTGGAGCCTCTTCACAGCAACACAACGAGACTACAGGTAGAAGAGGGTGATGACCGAGCAGGAGGAGGATCCGCTCGGGCGCTAATGTTCATCTGAAATAATCAACTGGTTGGCTGTTGTTTCTTGAGTCAACATTGCATTGCACAGAACAAAAAAAAAGGATGATCTGGACATTGAGAAACCGGGCTACAGGATATGAGATTAAAATAACAACATGTAGGATTTTATTTTTTTTATCTGAACATTATAAACAACCAAGAGCAGCAAACATATCTTTGTGTCCATCGGGTAAAAAGAAGTTTGTCATGGTCGGTCACTGCTATGTTGATGAGGTTCAGAAATCTGTACAACCTGGACTTTGCGTCGTTGGAGAAAGGTTTGCTGCGTGTTCCTGATCCGAAAGTCGTTTCGGTTGTAGTGAAGGTCTTTACAAAGTGCTCAAACCTTTTTTTTTTCTATACACTGAGCACCAGCTGGCTTACTGAGAAAAGGTTTATAGAGTCTTTACTAGCACACAAATCCCTCCAGGGGCTTGATTAACAGAAAAAGAAGAGACGTAGAATCCATCAAGAGGCCAGTAACATGTCTCTCTATGCTCTCCTCCACTGTTTTTGAGCCTCGCCTCGTCTGTACAAAACGTGTTAACGATATATTAAAGCCATAGGATCCGTCGCCTTGGAGTGCTGAGAAGAGATGCAGAGAGTATTTCTGAAGTTTCTGACACACCTGGTTCACTGTGAGCCGTTTAAGGTGTCAGCCACAGAATCAACGGAGTCCTGCTGAAGTCTCTCCACAGGCAACAAACTCTCTGAGAGCGCTGGCTGAGGGGAGCGGGCCAGGCCGGCCCCAGAGATGCAGCTCACACAACCCTGAGAGGAGACAGAAGGACGCATTTCACATGGACTCAATGTGAAGACAGAGAGGAATGGCAGTGATTTAGGAGCTCTGCGCTACCTGTGTGTCTAATTCCTGAGGGATGGTGTGCTGCTTGATCCAAGGATGGACCTTGGCCAGCTCTTCTTTCTGCTCCTGGTTGAACCACGGCTGGAGCGGCTGAAGCACTCGCAGCTTTTCTCTGTCTTCTGCCAGCACTTCATTCTGATCCCTGTCAGGACAAAGATTGTACTGCGTTAAAGACGCACTGATTCAGCTTTTCCTGGCCAATGCCAAACTGTTTTGTCTTTGAACTGCTGACTAAGAGGTCTTGACTTTAAGGATAATGATGAATATATGGGAGGAAATGTACTTCTCTCATAAAATTAATTACATTCGTCCAATTTATGCCTCAAAGTACATGCCCCTAACCTTAGCCAGGATTTTTTTTTTTTTTGATCAAAAAAGCACATAAAAGTCAATCAGGGATCAGAGAACTGATTGATTGGTGTATCTCTAGTCATTATGACGTAAAATAAAATCCTACTGAGCTTTCATTGGTTAAGCGTAAGGCAAGTGGGACTTAATGTAACCCTTACTTTGTAAGGCATTTAGTGACAATAGACGTTCATGAGCCTTATACAAAGTTTACTTCTAAGTTTGAGAAAAAATAAAAATGGAGCAAAAATGCAAGTCTTGGCTATTTTTAAACCCTGTTTCACAGCATTTACTCTCTCATACATGACGGCATGCCACATTTACCCCAAATAAAACCGATATTATGAGAAAAAGTGCAGAAAAATATTTTGAATGCTGATAATTATAGCTCTTTAATCTAAAATGGACTAAAGTCAGGTCAAAGGCTCAACAGTTCATCTATAAACCACATATTACATATAAACTATATAAAAGGCTATAGTTTATAGCTGATGTTTACCTTGTGTGTATCTGGTAGGTCATCATGACCTGCTCAGGCGTGTGCTGGATCATGCTCCACAAGGAGCTCTCCACCTGGGTTTCAAAGCTGTGCGGCCGCTCCACCGATGCATCCTGGCTTTTGCGGGCTTTGCGGGACGTGTCTGACGAGTCATTGCTGGCAAAGTACTTGCTGCTGTGGCTGCTGCCTGGAGGCCAGAATATTTTGCGTCACTCTAGTTATTATTCATATCTAATAACTGAAACTTTTGGCTGCTTTCTTTGCTGCCTTGTGCCTCTCTGTTACGAGCCCTCCACTCCCCACATATTTATCCATTTTAGAAATAAGCATACAATTTACAGATAAAAGTAGCAAAAACGCTGATAAATAAACTTTAAAAAGATGATTGAGTGTGCTGTCATTCATACCAGTATGTGAGGTGGATGTCTCATTGGAGCCGGAGCCGGATCCAGATCCCAGCGAACCTCCAGATTCCCCTGATCCAGATCCTGAAGCATTGGATCCAGTTCCTGACCTGGCGTCCTCCTGCAGGAGCAGGTCCAGCAGCTCACTAGATGTCGACTGGGCGTCCTGGTTGCCAGACTCACTTGGTGCATCCCCCTTGAGAAAGAAACAGTTTTAATATCAATGTCACTTCAATCAAGTTACAGTGAATATTTTTATCGCTGATGATACAATTCAGGCTGACCTGGATGGTGTGTTGCTCGTGGAGACTCTCAGGGTGGTTGAGTCCAGTGCTGCTCTGCCCCTCGCTCTGTCTGGGAAGCTCCTCCTGCAGGAGGTTGAGCTGTAAAGGAGAGCTGGAGCGAGAGCTGGAAAACAAGGCCTGAGGCCCGCCCGCCTCCTCTTCCTCCCCAACGGAGGACGCGGCCTTCTGCGAGGAAAGAAGAAGGCCCGGTGACATCTGAGTGAGTGGGCCGGTCTGGACCTGGAGCTGAGGCTGAAGCTGGGGGAAGGGCACGCCGCCAGGAGCGTAGCCTGTTATCATGGTGGGTCCTTGAGGTACAGCTGAGGGAACGGAGGGAAAGCCCGGAGTTAAGTTGGGATAGTTTGGCAGGATGACAGCCATGATGGGAGGCATGTACGGGTTGAAACTCTGGGCTGAAACCAGCGGGACTGGGTTGTAAAAGTTCTGCAGGGGCTCCATCTGCAGCGGCTGCAGGGCCGGCTGGCCCTGACCGGGCGGCATGATGTTGAAGTTGTAGCCGAGCTGCTCGGGAGGCTGCAACATGCCAGGAGTTGCTGCGGGTGGTTGTTGTGGTCGGGGCTGCTCTGCAGCCGGATTCCCCAGAACGGGAAATAACGGCACGGGGTTGGGAGACGTTTGGCGGTAAGTCTCTACCATCTGAGGCTGT